GTGCTATAAGGGACTGACATCAACGATATTTGCTTATATTACTGATAATCAATTTGCCGCTACAATCATTGCAGTGATCATATCGCGATATATCTGTCGATGATTTAAGACGCAAACATCGCTGAGACGAGAATACGGAGTTACCCCTACGGGTACGAACACGATCTAACGATGCGTTTACAGAAGGAGAAGGGACACAGATCATTACGCCATTTTCGGCGTAAGCTTAGCACGAGAGTTCGTGTTGCTTGCGAATGCAACGAGTCTTGCTACGATTCGATACAGGCGTCAGAATTTCAATGTCAAAAAAGAAAACGCAATAGGCGTATAACAACTAGATAAATTCTTAACAATATTAAATTCTCATCATGTTTACCGCATAAATGTAACATGTGCAAAACGTTGCCTTGCCTGAACCTTAACACTTCCGTCTATACACGCGAATCGCGCCGTTACGATCGCGATTTCCCACTGCGGGGTACAACACGAATAGAAGACGAATTCACTGGTATCGCTCTTCGCGGAATGACTCGCGTTCAGCACTTCCAGTTGCTTCGTGCTCCACGTAAATTTCACACAAAACGCGAACAGGTTTCGCCTTATCAATTAATACCGGTAGCAATGTCCGCAACCTTATTCACATTATCACGTTATCACCTCATGGCGCGTGGCGAGCGTCAAATAAAACGCTAAAGGAACCTGATTAAAAAAAGGAGGGGGGGGGGAGGAGAAGAGAAAAAGATACATAGATAGGAGGAGATGAGAGACAAGGAAGGATCCATTGAACGATCGGATCGTTGGGTAAATAATTCATGTAGATCACGATTTGCTGATTTCGGATACTCCGGGTGCTCCGTAACGTTCAATAAATAACTTACAAGATAACTTACAGGAAAGGAAAGTTGAGGAAGGGGAATATAGGTGACACGAATGTCCGACCGGCGTGTCCTCCTCTAAAATGTCATCGTCAGCGATTTCGGCGAACCACCCGTGTCCATCCGTAGATCCCAGAAAGTCTCTCCCAGAAGAGTCCCCTCGTTTTGTTCATTCTCCAGAACTGCGACTCGCTGAACGGAGTGGAAGTCTCGCACGTGCGAGACACGCGTCTCGAAAGGCACTACCGGTTTATTGTAAGTGTGGTCACGCACGCCCCATCGTGGCGTACTACGACCAGTCGCTCTCATCGCGGACGATGCCCGTGATATCATACTTCCGTGCCATCCTCACCCTCATCCTCGTACAACGTCGGTCCATTGGCGGATTTCTTCTTGGGCTTTGGCGGCGGTCTCGGCGGCACCTTTCTACCGAGAGTGTTGCTGCTGGCGGTTGCCTGTTGCTGCTGCTGCTGCTGTTGCTGCTGCGTGAGTAACAGATGACCGCCGTCCATGCTCTCGTCCGTCAACTTGAGCGGCCATTCAGCTGCACCTTCCGGCGCCACTCTGTCCAACGGATTACTCGTCAAGATATTCGGAGTGCTACGCTGGATCGATCCGTAGTGCGAACCCCCCGGCGTGCACGGAAGCGGCCGGCCCCTCATGGACGAGGCCGCCGGTTCCGGACTCTTATTCAGCGACAACATCGAGCTGCCATCCGCCGTAGTGCGTAGCCCCAGATTGTCGTACACCGGCTCGACAGCGTCAGTGGGCGACGTCGGGGGTGCACTGCTCCAGCTAGGCGCTCGCGGTCGTCGCGGAATCGTCACATAACCGTGACGAGGTAGCACCGGCGCCAACGACGACGACGATGACGGTCCGAGACTATACGGTGTCGCGCTGCGGCTGTGTGGCAGCGTCTTGAAGGCGGCCGGATGGTACTGGCCTGACGGCGGCGAGCCGTACGATGAGGCCGTCGCAGCCGTTGTCGCCGCCGCCGTCGTCGCCGGTGCTATCATTTGCTGACTAGGCAGACGCGTGCTGTCAGGCGCTGTTGACGCCTGGCTAGTTGGCGATGCGCCGCGACCGCCGGAGAAGGCCAAGAGATCCGGCGGATATTGTCGGTGGTGGTAACCGGCACCCCCGCGTGGCAATGTGCCGCCGCCGCCGCCGCCGCCGCCGCCGCCGACGCTGCCGCCGTTGCCACCCCCGTCGAGTTCCGGTGTGGCTCGTTCGTGCTCCTTGTCGTCGTCGCCTACGCCGCCGCCTACCCCGCCGACGACACCGCTCCCGACACCGTCAGCTGCGAGAACATGAACAAAAGAGAAGGACGAACGTTAAAAAAGAAAATCTAAGTAAGGTTGAGAAAAAAAAAAGCAGGAAGAAAAAAAAGATCGCGCGAGGGAGGTAATCCGCGAGTACTAAAAAGACTGAACGCGCGAGACGTACGCGCGAGTAATAAGACTGCATTATCAAGGATACTGTTTTGATACGTTCCACGTTGATACTGATATTACCAACGAGCGTGGACGAATGCTTTTAATCGGATTTAGTCGCGATGTGATCGTAGTCGGAAGAGCGCTTTATCAACTGAACTGGAAAATGTAACCGCATTTTCTTGAGCGACGTCGGTCAAGCGAACGCTGGTGCTACATAGTGCCGCTTTGAAGTTCCCTTAAAATTCGTGAAGTTGACTGAATTTTCCTACAAGACTCGAGTCACTTTAAAGTCATATATTGATATTTCCTCTACAGTATTCCGGATTCATAGAAATTCGATTGTGTGTTATCACATGTTATACAAGTATCCCTGCGTATTTTCGTCGAAAAATATTTCATTAAATAATAACACGCAAGTGTCTACATACGCAACATGTTGCTTAGCGTACCTTATTGTCGTCATTACTTGTACAATTATATACAGCGATTTATTATGCAAGTCGTAATAAATATTTTCGCGTTGGAAGCTAGAAATTAAAATCTGCTCTCTCTGTTCTGATCTACAGAAAATATTATTTCTAAAAGGATATATCAATGGTCGAACACGGATGACGAATGTGTTCGCGCTATCGCAGCATAAATGTTATATTAAGGGCTGCCTGATGTATTATAAGCGTCCCTAACGGATCTTCATTAGTCTCCTAACTGCCACTTGGCGGGCTCTCCTTACCTTAAGATCGATGGCACCTGGTCGGACAATTCTCGCATGATAGTCCGCGCTCGGCACGGAAACGAATCGATTTACGATTACACGCACACACATGCATACACGCTGTTTGTACATTATTATATAAGCGACATATAGAGGTCATTTCCATTTCTGCTTGGAGGGAGAATACTACTCAAAAACGAAATGATCGATGTTCCGCGACTTGTTCAAGAATCATACCGGGCCATATTCGCCGATGAATTCTATCGAGCTTAAATTAATCGAGCTTAAGCCCGCGAATGCGCGGTTTCGAGGTAAATCGCTTGTCGAAATTAATGCAAGATAGTTTCTCGCTAGCACCTGGCCGCGCACTGTTTAGTAATATAGGCTGTGTACTGACCGAAAACCGAGTCGTTGTCGAGCAACGTGCGGTTCAGCTCCGTCATCTCCGTACTATGCGATGTCACCGACGGCGCCTCGTAGCGCCTCGGGGGCTTTACGACCGGGTTAATGGTCGTAATCAGGGATTTCTCCTGTTCACCGAGACCGTGGTGCTCCAGGGACGCCGCTTCGAGGCCTTTCTCGTCGTGCCTGGTGTGTCGACGACGACAGTAGCACACGCAGAGCACTACTGTGACAATCAACAGACACAACGCGGTGACACCTAGTCCGATAGCGAGAGGCAGACTGATGAAGTTCTCTCTACCGCCTAGAGCATCGCCCATTATGGATAAAGTCACGTTTTTCTCCGCTTCGCCGCCCGGACTCTTCGCGTGGCAAATGTAGTCACCTTTGTCGGAAGGCTGCGCATCGACGATAGTGAGATTTAACCAATCATGATTGCCCAACAGTACGTACAATTTATCGCCCGTGCGTTTGGTACTGTTGACTATAGGGCGATTACGATTCGTCCATGATAACTGAAATAGACATGTAACGTGAGGTTTCATAGTGCGGCAGTAAAGAAATTTTAATGTGTATTGAATACAAAAATTCTCTAATAAAATGGCAAGATTAAATCGCTTCTTTCTTTTCACTATAAACTTTATTTAGATCAGGAACCTATTTGATTTTAACTTATAAGATTTTAACTATTATATCGAGTGTGCCCGAAGATGCATTTACCTCAGGATGTGGAATTCCCGTTGCCCTGCACGATATTGTCACATTTCCTTTGGCTGCCTCGATTTTGTTCGACGGCTCGATGTTGGTGATCTTCGGTCTGCACGCGAAATCGTCGCTACTAACTTCGTCCCACATCTTGCCGATCATGTGGAGCGGTTGCTGGCAAGTGGTTGGCTGTGTGTACAACTTGCGCTGAATCGCCCAATCGCGGAACTTTTTGAGGTGGCAGTTGCAGTTCCATGGATTATTCTGGAGCTCGAGACTGCCGAGCTTGGGCAGACTCTCGAAGCTTTGCAGTTGCAGAGTGCTGAAATTATTCCCGTCCAACGCGAGGGAATGCAAGTTTGGCAAATTGCGAAACGCCTGCTCCTCGATGCGCTCCAATCTATTGTCTGACAACGTGACTTTCTGCAAGAAAGTGAGATTGAAGAACAGACCGTTATCCAGCATTCTCAATTTGTTCTGATCGAGTAGCAGCACTCGCAACTTTTGAGTTTCGTAAAAGACACTTGGATGCAGACTGCGAATATTGTTGCCCGACAGGTCGATCTCGATGATGATCTTCAAGTCGCTGAAAGCGTCCCTGTTAATCGACTCGATGCCGCAATCGCGCAACGACAGCTTATGCAGATTAACCAGATTTACGCGGCTGAACGCATCGCGTACGAGATGAGTTATGCGATTGCCGGTCAAATCGAGACTCTGGATCTCGGGCGAGAGATCCCCCGGCACCTGCGTGAGATTCTGCTTAATGCACTCGGCGGTCTTCTTACCGGACACCCATTTGCACTTGCACGTCGACGAGCACTGCATCCAGTCCTCCTGGCCTTGACACAGGGCGACCGTAAGCGCCACACAAAGCAGCCACCGGCTCGCCGTTCTCGGTATCATCTCGAGGAATCCTGTTAACAGCAGAAACGTGCGCGATGACGTTAGGACGTGACTGTGGTACTGTGACCGCAGAACTTACTTAGCCGAGCGTAGTTGCATGCATGTGAAAGCGGAGTTTCGTCTTTTGGGATATTCTGCCGGAGAGAAATATGCAACATGTAACTAATGCATTCCAGTTACCGTTTAATATTTACCAACGCGGGCAACTAGCTACGCGTTTTACCTGCAGTCACCATTATTGATAGTTGAACGCGGATGTGGATCATTGTTTAATTACACGATCGACTAATCATATTACGTATACGCGGCCGGAATTAATTATTACTAAATAATACGCGGCGCTTAATAATTTTGAATAATTTGTACGTCATACAAATATCTCATACGCTATTTGACACTTTTAGTTAATGTACGTTGAGATAATTGTGCATGTCACTGAACAAATTACGCGATATACGATTTCGTAATAATAAATGCCGTCATAGAATTATATATGTATATAAAATATACTTTGTTTATCATCTTTTCCACTTTAGGTTTACTCTATTTAACCTTCAGCTAAAGATGTGCGAACTATTCGAATACGAATCGTCGAATCAATTCAGGTAAAATTTGATTCGATTTGAATTTAAATTGCTATCATTTGAATACGAACTACTCGAAAATTTCGAATAGCATTTTTCACTGGTAGAGCTGGTGCGCACTCAGTGTTCTTTAAAGCCGTTACACATAAATCGAGATAAAGCTGTACGTTTAATAAAAATATAGAAACGAATTAAATCCTCAACACATTTTATTGATATTTGATAAAATATACATTGGGTATTTTAACATTGGATTACATTAATTGAGATATCGCACTCTGACATTCAGATTAAGTTAATGCACAACAGCTTTAATGTGCACTGGATGCGCACCAATTCTGCCAGTAAAAAACGCTATTAGATTCGAAATTTTCGAGTAGTACGTGTTCAAATCATAGCAACTTAAAAATTCAAACAATTCATAATATTAAGAGATTTGAATAAGAATCACTGCATATATTGACAGTCTTATACATTTATCGCTATTTCTTATACAAGACTGTCATATATTTATCGCTATTTTATTTATCGCTTTCTTATTCTTTATTACAACAATATATTTCACTTGCATGAAGAGTATAGTTATTTCATGGCTCGCACAACGAGACTAAACTCGACTTTCCATGTTATCGAACAAGTCTTGCTATGTCTAAGGCAGTTTGGTGCCATCGGAGACCTCCGGGATTTTCTTCGTGTTTCCTCGGCCACTCTGTCTTCCTCCCCCTTACATTCCCACGAGCCTGTCTTTTCTTTATTTTTGTTAGTCAACGCCACTAATCTCAAAGCACGACGGAATACCCTGCTGAGAACTGTTGGCAATTTAGCTTAATACCATTACAGCATCGCGTTCTGCGACGCCGGCGTCGCATCGTGTCGTGTCGACGCGTCGCCGAAGTTAAATTAATACAGCACGACAACTAAAACAAGCTTCACTCCTGTTATTATCGCTGTGGAGTTCGAGATTGTGCATTATATTAGTTTTTCCGCCGACGGGCGACAAATACAATTTCGAACCTCTGTATCGGTTGAAATTCGATAAGAATGTAAGCTACAACATCCCGATGAAGAATCTATAAGTACACCTTGAAATGATTTATTAATTTATTAGAACACGATTTTAATTTTGTGCATTTATGCAAGTTATTTTATATATCTCGTTCCTCAAATTTCATTTCATGGTAAATTTTATGCAGACTTCAAACTTTTTTTTATATACCGTCCTCTTACTTCAAAAGTAGCACAAAAAAGTGAGATTTTTTAGTTATTGCATGAAAGAACAATTTTGTTAAAGTATCTAAAAATTTAAGTAAATACAGATTTACAAAATAAATTTGGATCATCAAAATAATTATGCGAAAAACGTAAATATGATGAGCCATGCTGCAAAAAGTTTCGACAGTCTAGCAATCAGCTTGTGCGTCCTAATTATTTTGATAATAATTATTTTGAAAGTTTAATAAAATTATGTTTAGATTTAACTAATTTTTTAGATACTTCAAAAAAATCATCACTTCAGAGAATCATGAAAGAGTTAAGTAAATATTATCCAATAAAAAATGATCGATAATTAAAAATTTCACGAAAAAAAGTATTTTATAACCAAACTTAATTAATAATCTAACTTTATAAAAAATCATTAAAATCGTTAAATTAAAAAAAGTAATTTTTTAAAAAAAGTTGTAAAACGGACACGATAAAAATGACATTTGATTACGTTAAGAATATCATTTCTTTATTTCAAAAGTGACATAACTCATATAATGTTATTATAAAGAATTAGGTCATTCAATTAATTATCAAAACTGAACTAACTTCACAGTTCGTCCGCCAAATAGTACTTGTGTACTTCTTAAGGTTTTCCAAGAGATCGTAATACTTTCTACAAGAGTGAGACACTTCAAGTTGTATCGTTTTTGTAAATAAAAAAGGAGAAATCTACAGAAAACATTTAGAGTTAATAAGACAGTTTTGTGACCGAAGTTTAAAGAAGAAATTTTATTTTAAATCTAGTTATTTTAATCGATCAAGATAAATATGAATAACTTCTGTTGGTGATATTTCAAGTTATGTCGTTCTTGAAAAATTATTCAGGATTTATAGAATATCAAACTTGTTACAACTCAAAACACACGACATAAGTGATTTCTTAAAAGATGAAATGACATTTGATGAAAAGAGGAAATGACATTTAATCATATTAAGAATTACGTAGTCCATGCCTATCCAATTTAAGCTCTGAAGTCAAAACGCAAAATCATCGACGCAAAAAAAAATCAATATGGATACGATTTCGGAGATACGTCTGAGCGACGCTTATCGACACTTTACAATCTTTATGAAATGTTACATTAAATTTTTTTACGTCAATGGCTTTGCGTTTTGGAACTGGACTCAAATTGGACAGGCCTGATGTATTATTTTTGCTGGTATTAGTTAATTTAAATCAATTGTCTGTCAAATAGAAAAACAGTTTCTCTTATTCTGAGAAAGTCAATTTGTTTAGTTGTGTCACTTTTGAAGCAAGGAAGCGATATATATGCAAGTCGAGGAAGATTGAAACATCACGAAGGACCGAAACGGTTAAAAATTAAACATGATTCAATATTAGAGAACCGTAGCGAGGATCGTCAGCGAATCACAATGTGCATAATAATTGAAATCGCGTAACTTGTACTTTTCGAAGCGTACAAAAGTAAACTATGCGTCACTGTGAATTAACATCGTGAGAAAACAAAGAGAAATTCGCCAAAGATCGCGGCCGGATTCCATCGGGAAAACCATTCCGGTGGGAACCGTGCGCGCCATAGTAGATTTCCGCCAACTTTTCACGCACACATGCTCCGCACGACGTCGAAACTTTTTGAAGTCTTCGTCCGCAAGGACCACACTTTCCTATAGCCTCGAGATTTTATTGTTGTGGCCGCGGACAGAGTAGTTCTTTCGAGCTCGATCGGTCTTGCCACGCGGTCAAAGTACATACGTACTAAGGAGTATTGTCCTCTAAAACCGCTACGCACGTTTCAGCCTTCTCTTTGCCCACGTGGCTTTAGATCTGAAGCTAAAACAGTGCTCTTTGAACCGTGGCATGCTGCTCGGCATGTGTACGGCTTATGAGAGAGCGTTTACGAAGAGCGTTTTCTCTTCCATGAAATATATTCCAGAGGAAAGGCACGTACGCGCAGAGAGTTAATATTACACGGACAAAACGACGAAGAGAAACGCTAAAAGATGATACTCGTGTGACATCGCGTATGCATTGAGCTTCGATTCGTACATCCGTCTCGCTGTTCTGTCTCGCTGCGCCCGATGCGGCTTCACGGCGCGGCGGCCGGCCGGCGGTTCTGTTCCTTCGATCCTAGTATATCGATCGACCGCATTTGACTTGTAAATAACTAAGTCAACGAGGATACGGGGAAAGTGAGGAGCTTGTATACGGACTGGAGCGGCCTTTTAGCCTGAATGAGACGAGTGTCCTTTGGCCGGCGCGTGTACCGTGCCGGAAGGAACCTCCCACCAGTCGTGTCGTGGGATGCGGACACGCAAAAGTTGCTCAACGTGTGCGTGTGTCTAGTACATATATTCGCGTGCCACGCAGAAAAAAAAACATCATACGCAGAAGAG